CAATCTTCTCGAAGGCAAATGTCCTTTTTGAGCAGTTCGCTGGAAACATGCAATACATTGGTGACTCATTTTGTGCCAATCAGGTTGATAGATGGAACTCTTAAAGACGATACCCGCGATCAAGTGTTACGAGTAATAGGTCATGAACCATTAGCCCATAAGCGACTCCCAGTACCGAAAAAAGAGGGAAAAAAAGGAAACACTCTCAACAGAGAATCCCAGCACTGGGGCCGGCGCCAAGGACGATTTTGTCCGACGTCGGACAAGCCCAATCACCAGGATCCGAAGCGCACCCAATTTCCGGCAGCATAGGGAATCGCCCTACGATGCTCCAGGCAACGCTATGCATGCACGCTTGTAAGCCGTTGTCTTGCAGAGTGAAAGTAATCGTGGTTGCAATGTTGCAATAATCACGCGTCTCTAGCTTCTTTATCTCGCCGTTTCAAGTGACGAAAGTGGTACATTCTGTGCCAGTGCGGACCCGAGTGCCAAATGCATGGAGGACCACTTGATCGCGGAAACTACCTTCAAGTAAGGTCTGGAAGATTTTTCTAGATCGTTTTCAAGAGAGGTCTGAACGTAACTCAAAGTTTTGGAATTGTGTTCTCTACATCACCAAACGCCTTCATCCCTGAAGTTTTAGACAGATTATCATGAAAACCGCTGGAAAATTCGAAGTCCTTGCCATGTACGAGAAGGACGGGTTGGCAGTCGTGCAGGTGCGACACCTTTGGCACTTCAGAGCACGCAGAAATAATTCTGAGGGCTACAGATACCCGTGTGTTGTTAGGACCCGCCCACGCTATCTTCAAGGTGCGACACTTCACGGTACAAAAATCCCGCAGCGAACGCGCGGTCGAAGATAGAGAACGGCCAGACGTGAGAGGGCACAGAGAGCGTGTTTAGTTACGGTTAGGTGTGTCGCCGGCGGTGCGGCAGTGAGGATGGAGTCCAGAACGGCACCATTGCCATCGCTGCCTTCCAGCCTCGTTCCAGTGTACTTTTGGGTGGAGAGAGTGGCACTCTTTTGCAGCTACGGATCAATTTCCCTCGATCATGACAAGGAATAACATCCTTTGAAGCGAGTGTATAGTTTGTCTCCGAAGACACACTCCAATGATTAATTATTTGGTTGATTTAGTCTTTACCTGGTAAGGCAACCTTGGTAGCTCCGTATAGAACTGCTTCTGAAAGAGGAAGACTGTCGTCTTTGGCGGATTTTTGGCTGTCAACAAGAAGACAATGAGCTCGTTCGTCGCTGTTGATTAAGTAATTGAATCCGCCACATCCTGACCGCTGTAAGACAAGAATTACTTCATTTTCAAAGAAATCAATGCGGTCTATTCGAAAAAAAAACAACAAAATGTTGAGGGCCTGATCCCAGAATGGGTCACTTATTCGACGTGGACATCTGCGTCGCATAATAGCTGGGGCAAAATAGCTCCTGCAATCAAGGGGAGCTTTTAAAAGCCGATGCTCCGAAAAAGATGGTCCAGCTGATCGTATGGGTAGGCATATGCATAGTCTAGTTGCTAGGCGTATCAGGAGGGTAAAGTTGAGCTCGTTTTGCACCGATTTTTGTCACTTGCTCGCTTCAACGATTGCTGACAAACGGGTTGCCACCGCACTAAATCCACCCCCTCTCCCCTTACACGCCCAAGCATCCGGCAACGAACAAGACCTTAAGTAGAGGGAAGATGCTCAACCACTGTTCCTTAATTATTCGAGTACTTACTCTTTTGTGACGGCCAGGGAGGGGGAAGAAGCGATTTGCCAATGAGAAAGATAAAATGATTCGCACAATAATTTGTCTACCTTCCAGTAATCCTGTCCTTATTAGATGATCCGGGCCTTGCACAAGGGGCCCTTTGAATGACCCGTGATTACTAGCGCTTCTTCTCACTCAACTAACCTCTAAACACCGTACGGAGCATTCTCGTAAGCTCGGCACTCTGTAATGACCTAGCACGTTTCCTCGCACCACGCTGTAGCTCTCGATCACAAAGCTGTACGAAGCTGCTGAAAAAGAAGTTACTACAGGTTTTACCACAAAATTGAAACTTGGTATAAATTCAATGTGATTTTGTCAATGTTAGTGAGCGTCTCAGCGCGCAGTCTTTCCGGTCATTTACCTCTACCTCTCTGAGGCTAGAGGAGGCCTGACGAATGCGTTTCAACGTTCCCTTTGGCATTTTCTCTTTTTAGATGGTTTATTCACTTGGCGAATTTTCTTCCACATTTCTGCAAAATCACCTGGGCTTTTTATCGCGGACAGTGCCTTTTGATTTGGGGGTTTTCAACATCTTAAAAGACTGCTGTAAATAAACTGTCCCCGGAGAAGTGGATGGTCGGATGGACCGGCCTAGAGGCGATGTGGCATTTAACTTGGGACCAGGAGCTCCGTAAGCCGCACCGCTTCCCGTACGCCTTCTCTCGCCTTTGTCAAATATGATTTTGTAACTCGACTCCAAGATTGTTGCAGTGAGTTATGGTTGTAATGACGCGGAGTGGTTTCGTATGCTCCGCACATACGCTTAGACCTAAATATTAGGTTGTCCGGGAAGTTCTCAGCGTTTTGATGAAACTTCAAACGATCATAACTTTCTTAATACTCATCGGATTTAATCGAAATAGGCACCGTTCGAATCAGCACACTTTTGCCAATGTGACACCAGTCGATAAATCCCATCAAAGAAAAAACTGGGTGGTCGAGAATCCACGAAGGCTTTTTTGCCTGGTCCTGATTGATGAAGTATTTTCCAGCAAGGAAGTTCTGAAAATGTTTGAAAAGGTGATAGTCGGTTGGTGAAAGGTCTGGAGAATATGGCGGTGAGGTAGAACTTCAACCCCCAATTCGTTCAATTTATGGATAGTGATTTGTGAAACGTGTGGGCGGGCGTTGTCATGCAAAAGAATCGGACCCTTTCTTTTGATAAGTGTTGGCTGCAGCTGACAAAATTTTCGGTACATTTCGTCGATTCCTTCACAGTAGGGTTCTGCTGTGATGGTTTGGCCTGGTGACAAAAAGTTATAGTGGATCACACCAGCCGATGACCACCACACTGTGACCATAACCTTTTTTGGTAGATTCGGCTTTGGAAAAGATGAAAAGGTTCAAGGATCTGCTCAAACTTGGTGGTTCGTCGGCGTCCATACTGTCCGTAACGTCTCCTGTTATCATACATGATCCACTTTTCATCACAGGTGACAATTCGGTCCAAAAACGGGTCGTTTCTGTTGCGCAAAAGCAGTGAAGAGGAAACCTCGAGACGTGCCAATTTCTGCCGGTCACTCACTTGTGGGGCACCCACTTATCGAGTTTTTTCACCTTCCCAATGCGTTTCAGACCATCTGCAACACTGGATTTGCCAACGCCTAGCTTTTCTGCAATCTCTCGAACTGTTTGGGATGGGTCAGCCTCCACAAACGCCTTCAAATCCTCGTCAGGTATTGCTTTAGGTCGACCGCTACGAGGTTCATCTTCAGGGCGAAATTTGTCGAGCCACGCACTTTTCTCTAGCACTATTGGGCCCCCACACCTGGTTAATTTGTTGAGCTGTCTCGATTGCGGATTGACCCAATTTTTAGTCGAAGAAAAATATCGTCCGAAGTTGCTCTTTTGACATGCTTCAAAAAGTCTTGGGAAAAGGGGGTTTATCAAGCAATGGTGAAACGGCAATTATACCATCAGATAGCGCAAAAAAATTCTCTTCAGGATGTACTACTGAGAAGCAAGGCAGAATG